GAGAGTGAGATATATATATTTATATAAGTTTGGTGCAGCCGACTGCAACGAAACCGGGATGTGAACAACTACATGTTATTAGCAGTCCAAATATACAAAAATGTACGGCTTCTACGGCTGTAATTCTACTGCTACTCATTCTTGAGTTATGCGAGATACATTCATAGGTACGTACGTACAGGCGTCAAGAAAATAATCTCTTTTGAATCCATTTTAAATCCATTTTAAAAATCCTTTCTGGAAAAAACAGTCCTTTATTCTGTCCGTACGTACAGATGTCACGCAAAAACATAGTTTGAGCGGTTTGAAATGGATATTTTCGAATGAAATAATAATAATTTTAATAATAATAATTTAATAATAATAATTTTGAAATGGATATTTTCGAATTTGAAATATGATACCCGAAGCGTTTCGGGATTACAATACTGCTTTTATATCGTATAAGGAAGTAAAAATGGGTCACAGTCATGACAAAATATTAACAGCACTTGACTGAAAGACGGCGTTCGAAAATTCGTACTTGAAAACAACGTTAGTGGTTTCAAACAGCGCCATATAAAGCTAAAAGCCACTTCTAGGCTAATGCTGCTTTACTAACTCACGCCTTCCCCAGCTCCAAAATTATACAACGTTTCAAAAATCATCCTTACATTTTTAAAACAGATATATTAATTTAAAATACAAATGTATTAAGCATGCAGGACAACGTACGGTTATAACGTACACACATAATTGGTAAAAATCGTAAACAAATCAATTATTTTATCGAATTTAGAACATTTCAAAAAGTAAATTATATCAAATAAATTATAAAAAATATTAAAAACTATTATTATCTTTATACAAAACTGATAAAAATTACAGTCTCCCACGAGCATATTTTTATTAACGTCATACACTGAGATGAAAGTTTGTAGATTTTTAACAGTGATTTCTTTCTCTAATTATTCTAGATCTAATTTTCGATTAGTAAACATTATTTCCAGTCTAAAGTATTGATATTCTATCTTCAGTCTACTCTGATTCATCGGTATTCTTAAATAATTTAAAATTTACTTTAGCGTCGTAAAAATACTTAGCTACTTAGCTAACTCTAGCTTCGTAAACTACGCAAAATTACGGTTAATCCATGAGCACCTCAATGAAAATAATAATTAATATATAATAAAAAAAATCTGAAAGCGTTCAAATTTTATAATATGCATACTTTATGAGAGTTTTTCTAGCGTTTTCTGTGTTACATTTATTTATTAAATATAATATTCTTTCCGATAGACAGTCTTGCGCGCTGGAGATAAAAACAAATTTTCCGTAAAGTGTTGCCATTGGTCGCTTTGAAATCGTTGAGTATGTTAATCAAAAATTCGTTAAAGTTTTACAAAATATGAAATGGATAATAAAACTAATTCGAAATTTCAAATTCGGGCTACCAGATGACCATGTTCTGGTGGAGGATTACGTTATTCAAAATGTCACGGCTGTAGGTACCGTCGTTTTTTCACAATGCGAGAAACATACCTACAAGCATGCACATTCTCCTTCATTTAATTACTCTTGAAATAATTCAGGCCGATAATATTTGGTGGCAACAATTTACAAAGTGATTCAACCTTTTACAATGACTCAACTCGGAATGCCGTTTCCAGACTAACAGCCCTTCTGAGCTAACACATCTTTGGGAGGGGGAAGGGAGAAAAAATTAAAAAGTCTGAACCTCACTTTTCTGAGTGGCAACAGTGCTGATATCAGCAACAATGGCAACAGCGATATCAGCAACAATGGCTGCGTGTCATTATTACTGATCTAATGAGAGAGAATTGTGGATATGATGCGATTTCATCAAAAAACATAAAAAGAAAAAAAATCTCTTTCGAATTTTGACAAAATCGCTTCGAGGTGCACTGGCTGTTATCTAGCTCCACCCCTATGTATCAAATTTCGTAGCTCTGGGTCTATTAGCACGAACGAAAGACACATACACGCAGACAGACTATTCCTTATATATACAGATATAGATAAGAGAATATCAATTCCCCCCCCCCCCAAAGTACAACTTAAGTCACCTTTAAGAAAGAAATTAAAAAAAAAAATGAAATGTTGGAAGATAAACTATGGGAAGAAAAATTACATTTTTTAAAATGAGGCTTACCACAAGAGTAAAATAACGCCCAGAATGTATAGTGGATAGGGGAGGTAAACCGCTGAGTTGGCTTCCGACCCAGGTATAGATATATCCATGCAGAATTGGTTACCAACTCGGCGGGAGTCAACCACTAGCTACCAGGCCACAGCCCTGGGCAGCTCCGGTTGAGCAGAAGACATTTATAAAATGCAAAAAAAAGATATACATATGCATACTAGGCACTTGAAGAAGAGTACAACAATGTGCAAAGAAATATATACATGTGCATACAAGGCACCTGAAGAAGAGTACAACAATGTACAAAGAAATATATACATGTGCATACAAGGCACTTGAAGAAGAGTACAATCAAAATATATGTATACAGATATTTTGATTACAAAATACAAAATGATTACGAAATACAAATTTAAATACAAAATGATATACAGATATATAGTACACACTTACATACATAGGTATTCCGAAACAAATAAAAGTATACGTACTCTCACTCATATTGATATATGCACCCATACATATATGTTATCATGATAGTTAAAGTTTACAAGAAGCATGCCATTGACGTACGCGTGATCCTTAGTATAAATTAGGTACCATAAATAAAAGATATAAACACGTACAGATACATTACATCATTCAGATACAAAACGAACTTTATGTATGAGAGCGTGGCACAGCATAAATACAAAATTACATAATGAACATACATATCACATACTCTGTTGCTGACATATTGAACTAGCTTATATAGACTTTTATGACTACTGTCTTCCAGTGTCAGAAGCGTAATTGCTAGTACAATAGTCAATTATTGTTTTCAGTTTCCGTTGGTCAACTCTGTTACTTTGTAGATTCTGGAACCAATTTGGCCAAGTGGATAGGGAAGCCGACTATGATGCCGAAGGGCCCGGGTTCGAATCCCGGATAAGGGATGGGAGAAATTATTCGTCCCTTCATAGGAGGTAACGGTGGCAAACCTATTAGGTGATACCAAAATAAAGTGGCCAAAACTTCCTCATCAAAGAACGATCCTTGGTAAGCAAAATTAAATGTATTATGGACAAGCTTGATGTTCTGGAGCAAGATCCCTGCCGGGCAGAATAGTGCTTCATTATCGCAGGTGTTATAGCTATCTATATGTGTCAAAAATTAATGAAAGTGGAAAGCGCCCCATATAGCCCTACACCTCGAATATCCAAATGCTATCTTTTGTCCCTCAACAACTATGTGCTGAGACACCTATTCGTGCTGAGACACCTATTCTGTTTCAGTTTGCAATTGGCAGTTTAATGTAACCTGAATTGCTAAATGTCTACAACAAATAAACTCTCATTCATCCTGTAAATGGGTATAGACTATGTATTTAACTGAGTATTTAAAGCCTGCAAATCACATCATCAAGAACCCAAATATACTAACTCTATAAATAACATGCAGCTTGAACCGAGCACCAAATATGCGGTCTGTATTACCACAAAACCTGGGATGGTAACGTGTCATCTGTATCAAATATACGTATAGTCTGTACTATTATGTAATCTGAATGGTTAAGCGTCCTATTTAATTTCTATTGTACACATGCAACGGTATTTTTCCGAAGTTATAATTGTCATATTTATGTGTTAACTGTATTACGTATTTATGTGTTATGTATATGTTATTATACTGTTATATATTTAACTGTGTTATGTATGTTACGTAGTGTTATGCAGCCCCTATATAGCCTGTATAGCCTTGTTGTAGTGTTATGCATATTACGCAGTGTATGTATATTAGTTGGTACACTATGAAATGTAAGCTGTATCAAATATGTAGTCTGTACTATTTTGTAATCTGAATGGTCCAGTGTCTTATTTAATGTCTATGGTATGCGTGCAAAGGTAGTTTTCGTACGTTATGATTGGTACATTTTTGTATTTAACTGTGTTACGTATTTATGTGTCAGTGTGTGTTATGCGTAACATGTGGTGTGTGTTATGTACGTGTGAGTAATATACACGCGTTATGTATGTGTTGTTTATGTGTTATGTACGTGTCAGTAATATACACGCGTTATGTATGTGTTGTTTATGTGTTATGTAATGTTATGTATTTAACTGTAGTTTACGCATTTGACTGTGTTACGCATTAATGTGTTATGTATGCGTTATGTGTGTAACGCAGCCCCTATATAGCTTGTATAGTCTTGTAATCTTAAGTATATTATGTAGTGTATGTATAGCCTAAGTCTTTCTTGCTGGACAGTAGCCCAACGAATCGATGCAATGGTCAGTGGCATAAAATTAAACATTAAACATATAGCATTAAAATTTTCAAAATTGCATTTTACATCACTACCTTCATCATCCGTATTTACTGCCCTAAAAAAGGACATGCTTACCGTGAAACCCTAAAGGATCACTCGCCGAAGTCTAAAGATACTCAGTAAACTCATTGACCGTCTACGGGACTGGGGCAGTTCGTAGAAAATTGAGCAGTAAACCAAAGTGCATCCAACACGCTGGGAATGATTGCCGTTGAACTGAATTTTATGGTTTAAAGGCGTTTTGTGTGTTACCTTTATTTACACAAAACATTGAAAAAACTCCCCTTTGGACTTAATTTAAAATCTGAAACCTTTCAGATTTTTTTATCTTAGTATTTTAAATTCTTAAATGTTTTATTTCTGGTTCTTCTATTTAAATTTATCTTTATCTTTTTACTGTGTATTTTCATATCCATCTTATCAACCTATTTGCAAGTCTCAAAGGCCTTTTCTTTCATTTGGGGGAAAAAAAATTCTGCTCTTTAATTACATAAATATTTCCAGTTAATAATTCTTTAAAAAAAATGCGTTAAAAGGCCTCCCTACCTGAATTCGTTGAGATCCTGTATTCAGGGAGCTTTTGCTGAGGGAAGTGCCGCATACACGGCCTAGATTCCTGTTAAGAACATTTTGGGCTGCCAAACACGGCAGAAAACCAGATTTGGCTATTTTCTGTCCCTTTCCTTAAGCAGTTGAGGAGATCTGCCTTCTCAGGATGCTATGCATCTTTCTCGGTGTAAATTTAAATGAAAATAAATTTAAATTAATTAGTATAAATAACCAGTAAATGAAAACGAAATGAATTAAAGTTTAAAAAAATGAAATAAATTAAATGAAAATTTAATGAATGAAATAAATTAAAATGAAATAAATTGAAAATGAAATGAAATAAATTAAAGTTAAAAAAGAATAATTTTTGAGGAGATGGATTATATAACGTGAAAGTCAATAAAGATGATTTTATACTGTAAATTTTTTAACAAAATTGCCATATCAGAATTTCTTGCCTTTGAGAATTATTATTTTAGCAGGGATATAGTAAACATAATTGTTTATATTATGTATATTCAAGTATAACGCATTGTTACAGTTTATTTTAAGTGTTGCCTTAGTTTATTATTAACTAGCAGCTACTCTGACACTCTTCGTCTGGCTTTTTAAATGTACCGGAAAAATGGTTGAAAGGAACACCAAACGTTAAATTTTAAAACTGCGTAGAATTTTACTCTGCAGAACAATTTCATAAAAAAATTTAAAAAGATATTACGTATAACAAAAATACAATGAAATAAGCAATATCCCTTAATACAAATATTAATTATTTTAATCAACTTCCCGTTGCCTTTTCTCAACAAACGTCCAGTATCCAAGAGAAACATTAAATTTAAAAATTGCACAGAATGATCGCCCTCATTTTTCCAAGTGGCAACGGTGCTGATTTTCAATAGTAAGCAGTCCAGTATACAATTGAATGAAAAACTGTTGCCAAAACCACATTTCTAAAAGAATGAAACTATTCAAAATGATGCGATAAAATTGAAAAGACAAAATCAAAAAAATCTGATATCATTTTTTAAAAAATCGCTTCGAGGTGCCTTGGCTCTTGTCTAGGTGCACCTATATACTAAATTTCGTAGCCCTGGGTCTATTAGCTTACTCGCAACACAAACGAAAGAGGCACAGACACTTTCTTTTATTATATGTAGAGATTTAGCATGAATTATAAAGAAAAATCAAGAAAACATATCAAGATATTCTTTCCCTTTTCTTACTTCATTTTATGAGAAACTAGCAGCTTCGCTGCCAGCCTTTCTGGCTTTTAAATATATCGGGAAAATGGCTGAAGGAAACACTAAACATTAAATTTAAAAACTGCGCAGAATTTTACTCTGCAGAACAACTTCGTAAACAAAAGGTATTACGTATAACAAAATTAGAATGAAATAAGCATTATCCCTTAATACAAATATTAATTATCCTAATAAATAAATTAACCAACTTCCCTTTACAAAATCTTAAGAACTCAAATGGTATAAAGGAGGTTAAGAACTTTGTTTCCTAAAAAAATCACTCAAAACTTTTCAGTATCTTAAAAACAGTGAAATGAGCAATAAATAACATAAAAGAATACAAAAAACAAAAAATTCTGAAAAGCAAAGTATGATTAATGATATTTTATCTTATATTTTCAAGAAAAAAATTAACCAACTTTCTGTTGAAAAAAAAAAAAAAATCATGCAAAACTTTTCAATATCTTACAAACAGTGAAATAAGCAAAAACTAACATGAAAGCAACTCAAAAAACATAAAATTCCGCGCAGAATTTTACTCTGCAGAACAACTTTACCAAAAAAAATCAATAAAAATGTATTACATATGTGTAAAAATGACAATGAAATATGCCAATCTCTTAAAAACAGTGACATAAGAAATACGATGAAAAGTTGTTGCCAAACCCATATTTCTAAAACAATGAAACTATTCAAAATGATGCGATTTCATCAAGAATCTATCAACAACAATAAGACAGGAAAATTGTTGCCAAAATCCCATTTTCAAAGATGTGAGAAGTGTACTCGGAAGTTTCATTTAAAAAATGTTTTAAAAATACAAAATATTATAATTTTTCCAGAATTCTTTTTGTAAAAGCAGTCGCAAGGATAAAAGTTTAAGGTGTCCAAAAATCAAAGAAAAATAAACTGTACATTTTTAAATATAAACTTTTTTAGAAAAAACCCCATTGAAAAGGTGTTAAGCTCCCTTTGTTAAATAAATTCGCATTGAATCGATTTATTGAAACACGAAATTTATTTTTTTAAGTTCGTAAAATAGCTAAGTGCCTACGTTTCATGACGATGTGAAAATCGAGTGTGTAGAGTAAAATCTCGCTTTCCTATAGCCCATTATGTCTTAAAATGACGCGATTTCGTCACAAAACATAAAATAAAAAAAATTCTAATTCGAATTTCGAAAAAATCGCTTCGAGGTGCTCTGGCTTTTGTCTAGATGCACCTTTGTACCAAATTTCGTAGCCGTGGATCTATTAGCTTACGCGCAGCACAAACGAAAGACACACACACAGACTCTTTCTTTTATTATATGTAGTGAAGATGAATACGTAAATAAAACGTAAATGAAAACGTTGAATACTACGCAGGGCGAAACACGTCGAAAAAAATCTTTCCATATTATAAGATAAAAAGAATTGAGGTCATTTCTTCTCAAGCTCACAGATTCTATCTCAAAGATTATAATTTCAAACTCTCCTTAAGAACCATAAAGAACACCAGCAAACAGTATTTTATTTTGCATTCATATTTATTCAGCTCGTGGCGCCGAGTGCAAAAGAACTCGGTCGGCAACATGCCAGATGTCGCGTAGCTGAGATCAAGGTGAATAATTGAATTGGCAGCCTTTCTCCCGCAGAATCTGAAGCTGTTCCGCAAAAACTAAAAATCGAACTCACTAGCACTAACTGTTAAAGCAGTTAACAGCCGGACATGATATTTCATGAAGTGTAAACACTTCCCGAACTAGATTTGGATAATAAAATCTTTACACGTATTTCTTTTTAGATGCATTTTCTTTCTTCCCCGGTTGTCAATTTAGATTTTAATTTTAGGTTTGTAGATAAATAGTTATTCATTACTAAATTCATCATCAAATGCTTATATGAATGTAAAGCTGCGAGGCCTTTTACGCAGTTTTATGAAACCTTTCAAAATGTTGCATTTGTGCTTTGATCGAGTCCAGCTGAAAGTTTGGCGTGCTTTTGCGGATTATAGCTTGTAGAGATATTAGGTATTTTTGGAAGCAGGCAAGATTGAAAATTATGCAACGCCTTCGCCGGGAATCGAACCACGGATCTCTGGAACACGCGCCCAGCGTGCAGACCACCACACCACGAAGGCATGCCAAGAAGGCGGGAGAAATACCTTATAAGCTGACATACAGTCAAAGATTCAAAAAACAAAGTTTGCTCTCCAAATTTCAGAATGCGGAAGTTTCATATTCAAAGCACGATCAGATAGAAAAAAGATATTGAAAGTATTATATAGACCAACGGTTCTCAATCTTTTGTCTAACGCGTACCACTACTACATTTTACAAAGATTAGTTTTCAGTTTCTTAATGGAAATAATAAAAAATGTTATATATTTTGCCATTTCCACAACCTATTGGCTATTTGTATTAAATATGAACACATAAAAAATTATATTAAAATATTCATTAACATTTTAACTATCAAAATTTAAGTTAAATACTTTAATTCTAAAATCTAGTGTGAAATTTGGGCCTGTTTAGAAGAGATCAGTTTTTTTTTTTTTTAAATTTTTATTTCATTTGACTTAGTTTTATCGTAAATTATGATCCACTTTTAATTTTGTTCTGGGAAAAAAAAAAAAAAAAAATTCGTTGTTCACACAATTAAGTTGCACAAAGAGGCAATAAAAATTTAATAGCTTTATTTGAAATGCCTTTAAATTCTCTTTTTTCCCGGTTCAGCCAAAAGTTAAAAAGTGTGTTATCTTTGAAATCTTCAGTTAGAAATCTGAAATGTCTATTAATTGTGTTTTTTCTTTCAGATACATTTGAACAAAATGGGTTTCTAATACCGAATGCAAATTCATCCTTCATTTTCGAATTACTTCCGATTAGAAAACTTACTAAATGTGGTAAATAGCTTATCCAGTTCTCTGCTTATTAGCCTTATCATCTTCCCCCCCCTTTTTTTTTTTTTTTTTTTTTTAATCATTGCCTTTATTTTCTCTCTAATGGTAAACTAATTAACACTTTGTACTTGCAAACCTAAATTTAATTCATTTAACTTTCAAAAATATCAGCTAAATACACTAAACACGCCAACCATAATCTACTAAATAAACATTTTTGCAGTTCAAATTTTGAAATACAAAGGATAAATTTGTATTTCTGATCGAAATTCAAAAAGACGATTTTGATCTTTGCCTTGGAAAAACCATCTTACTTAGGGAATGCAACAAAAGAGTTTCACGTTCAATGCCCATCTCTTGGCATAAAATCATAAATATTCTTGAATTTAAATCTCGGCTTTTAATAAAATCAACAATTTTCAGAGCTTGATTCAAAACGATTCTCAGGTTTTGAGGACTGTTTTGACTACTAAAGCTTTACGATGAACGGAGCAGTGAGTAAATTTAGTTTCAGGTGCACATTCTTTATTTGAGAAACAACACCGGAATGTTTTCCTGTTAACTCCCGAGCTCCGTCACTGCATATGGCAATGCATTTATTCCAAGGAATGACATTCTAAGACGTAATTACTTTGAATCAGCCAATTACTTTGAAAATTTCATTTGCAGTTGCTCTCTCATGAAGAGATTCACAAAATAAATACTCTTCGCCAATTCGTTTATCTTCTTCGAAACGTGCATAAACTAATAATTGAACAAAGTTTGTTGTATCAATACAAATATAAGGTTTATTTATAGTAATATAAGGTTTTCTTCAATACAGTCAGCCTGCCCACTCTTGGCAATTCTTAGGCTTACTAGGTAACTAGCTTTCAAAGCTTTTTCATTTGAAGTAACAAAACCTTTCATTACTTGTTTACTGTTTCTGAACTCCGATAATTTCCTCTTAAAATACTCTTCAAATTTATACTTTAAATTGGCATGTTTAGATTCAACATGTCTTTTAAGAAACGATGGTTTTATACTTTGAGTGGGTAATAGTTCAACGCAAACAACACATTGAGGTTGAGAGTCCATTTCATATCCATTCCAAGTAAACCCAAATGATAAGATAAACAATTTTTCTTCTCTTTTCAATATTCTTAGTGCTATAAGATTTTCCTGGATCCATCACCTAATGAATCATCTCTTTTCCGCTTAGTCAATCCTAGCCATTTTTCCATTTTGAAAATTTAGGCTTGTTTTACTATTTTTATTTCACAAATATTTAAATGCGCAATGTATTATGTGCTTTTCAAAAACAAACAACGGTATTCTCAAATTGTGTAGAAACATAAGGAATACAGAACAACAAGAAGACAAAATACCTGCTGTTAGGTATAGCGAATTGACGTAAAAAAATTATTCTAATTGAAAATAGATCGATATGAGCCCGGAAATGATGGTGACATAAAGTGCAGCCATGCTAGTAAATCGATCAACTCCAAAAGAATTTATGAGATACTATCATATTTTTAATATTTAGCAATAACCGATCTATATTGTCTCAGCTATGCTCCATGGAAGAGATTCCAGAGATTTGGCATTCCATGGTAGAAGATCAAATCCGCGTCGGTTTTTGACAACAACGTGAGTAACATGCGACATACCTTTGTCGTGTTGAAAATCGACTCTTGAAGCACTTGTAAAAATGGCGGTACCGTCTGTTCCACAACCAAATCAGAAACACATTAGGCTGCCAGTGCATCGGAATGAAAAATTAAATGGATCTACCTAGCATATGTAGCACCACACTGTCATTCCAGAAACAGAGCTGGTATAAAGTTCTTTCGTAAAGGCTCAGACCAAACTGACCATTACTACTTCCAAGATATATGAGAAGATGTAGAAGATGTAGAAGATGAGATTCATTGCTGAAGAGAATAGGTTTTCCATTCTGGCCTTCTCTGCCGGCTGGATGTACATCATGATAAGCTTTCAGAACTTTGGCTTGGGGTTTGTGGAATACTGGTCGTCTCATTTGTAATCTAGTTTCGTCCATTTTTCCATTTTCCGCTGTTATACTGGACTTAGCCTGCGTGGATTGCAGGCTTTTTGCCAGTTGTCGTTTAATAAGGGTTCCTGGAAGTACTAAAAACAGAACAAAGGTGTCGCAGAGACAAGATGTGAAAATAACTTTGCCACTAAAGAGTGTAACATCGTGGGGGGTGTAAAATACAAATCAGATACAAATATGCAAAAAAGTTGAAATGATGAAACTCAAAAATAAAATATAGTTATTCAGAGTGAAGTTCCATAATTGAATCTTGGTTAAATATACCAGTTTCGTACACGCGCTTATGTATTTTATAGACATTACTGAATCTCCAGGACTTACTGTATGACGTCCAAGTTTACTTGCAATAGTGTAAGGATTAATACTCGCCATTCTGTTAATCCAGTGGATCACTCTCTGGTCACCTTCTTTTGTTTTCCGAGTTTGCAGGTGTTATAGCAACTATACACACTTCAGAATGACATTGAAAGCATGAACACTTGTGAATAATGCTGACACTTTGGTCTTAACACGCAGTGATCTGCGACAATATTGAACCAATATTTTTTAGTTAAAAAATTCCACCTCATTTCGTTCTGCTAGGCATTGATTAAGAGGTTATCACACATGGCTACAGTCCCTGCTAGACGGGACTTTTCTGAGAAACGAGATTCTGGTAGCACTGGTTTAAACGGGAGGATTCCTAGAAAAAAGTGCCCCGCCTGAAGGGAAGTCCCGCCTAGCTACGGAAACTATGTTGCGGTGGCTACGCGGGATTTTTTCAAACCTCATCGAAAATGTCACGGCTGGACCTCAGTTCCGGGTAGAGACAACAAATCAGACGAAAGTTCTGCTTCTGAAGCCTCACGTGAATAAATCAATCTTAAAAATAATCGATTAGTGTTTGGCGTTCAAGTCTTTGTAGTAAGTGAAAATGGTAACCTAGCTACGTGGGTTTCCAGGAATTGGGCGGGTTCTGAGAATTGTCCCTTTCGACGTCAAGTCCCGTGTAGTCGAAACATAATGTGATTAGGACTTTAGTGGTTCAGCGATTGTGTGAAACTGGACCTCTCAAACATGCGCCTAGTGTGCTGTGGCTACCCCTCGAAGGCATGCTGGAAGGAGGGAGAAATTACCTTATAAACTCCTCCTTTCAAAAATCGACTGTGGATTAGATCACCCAAACGGCAGGGCCTGGTGGTGACGAATTATCGTCCACCACCTTTTGGTTCAGGCGCCACTGTAGATCATTAGGATTTTTGATGCTGGAGACGTGTGTTATAAATTGATTGCTCTCGGCGTTAGGTGGCGCTCCGAGCGTCTTGTCCCTGTTGATATTCTAACTTGATTTTAGTTTGATGGAAGAACGAAGGTGTTAAGCCTAATAATAATGAGGGCGCTTGCCTAATAATAATGCTTGTAATCTTTGTGTTATATTGTAAATAAAACGTGTGTGTATTAATAAAAGTGGAATTGTCACTTACCTCTGGAATGAATGCTCTCTGATGGTAATGGAATTATTCACTACAACATGAAAAATGAGCAATGCCCTCGCCGGGACTCGAACATGGACCTCTCGAATACGCGCCGAGTGTGCTACCATTACACCACGAAGACATGCTGGAAGGAGGGAGAAAATAACTTATAAGTTATTTATTTCGTATATTTAAACTATGTATTTCTTGGTCATGCGAAAAATAATATTTTCTAATAAAAGAGATTCAGAATTGTGTCGGTTTGAAAATTAGAGAGATTTTGAATAAAACCAACGCCAATAATTTTTCCACGTCCAAAGGAGCAATTTGCGCAGAAGAGCTATTAATTTGGTTTTGGCATTTTGCGCTGGTTCACTATAAACGACGTTTCACTTAATACTTGCCCCCAAATATTAGACCTCTGCATTATATTTTTAAAAAACTAAATAATGAATAATCTGCATGAATTTATGTATGTTTCTCCCACTGTGAAAAAAAAAAAAAAGTTACCTAGAGTCAAATTTTTAAAACGTAGTTCTCCATTTAAATATGGGCATCTGGAAGCTCAGATTTGGAATTTGTTTTATTAACTGTTTCATATTTTGTAAAACTTTAACGAATTTTTGATTAACAGACTCAACGATTTCAAAACGAGCAATGGCAACACTCTACGGGGAAAAAAAGAAAACATTTTTATCTCCAACACGCGAGACAATGTATCGGAAATTCTAAAGATAAGCTCTTTTTAAATTATATTGTGATATTGCTGCTGAATCGAATTTTGTGGTTTAAGTGCAAAGAACATGATATTTAATAAATAAAGGTAACGCACAAAACGTGAAAAAAAAAACTTCCCTTTGGACGTAATTTAAAATCTGAAACCTTTCAGATTTAAAAAAAAAAAAAAATTATTAGTATAACATTGTTTTCAATAAGGAAATAAAAAGGATATGTTTTATGTAATATGTCACTGGATGCATTTTAGAAAATACTTTGTATATGAGGAATTCAATTGCTCAAATATATAATTTCACCAACCTTCCCTCGTTATCTTTAGCGAAAACAAGCGTTACGTGAGCAAAGCTGTTTAAGAAGCAAAACAGATAAGTGGAGAGCGAAAACTAATAAGCATCTTGTTTGCCTCAAGCGATTTCAGAATGTATTGCCATATTCGCCGCCAAAGATCGTTTTCTCTGAAGAAGAAGAATAGGTATTGTGATAATAGAGGTCAGTAGAAGCAATATTATTTCCGCTGAGAAGTCACGTACACCAACTACTGTGATAAACACAAAAAAATAATTTACCTTATCCCAAAGGAGGAGGGGGTTGAGTTCTTTACTAGGATTAGCACGCTGTCAATCTTGCTTGATCCCTATTACTTCCTGTGAGTGAGACATAGATGACTGCGAACTGCAATTCTAAATCCTTTAACGGATTCAATTAGTTTAAAGTCTCCCTTGTTATTTCCTGCTTTGCAAAAGCAACTGTTCCGTTAAATTTAATGAATCGATGCGTTTTCTGACAAGACGTCAATATTGTTTCGTTCAAATTAAACTTGGTCTGAAGTTTCAAAGGTCGAGTGCGAAATAGAATAGTAAATTCCTTTTTCCAATGTACAGTCTGAAATTTGCTTAAACAGTTCTATTAAATAAGCTTTTGTTTCTTGCTAAACAAAGCAGCCTCTGTGTTCTTCGCTTTTTTTGTTGGTGTCTATACTAATAAAATCTGAGCGCGTTTGTTTGTAACATTATCTCCTCGATGTACCCCCTGATTTCAAAAACTGGTGGAAAGCCATTTCGACCATCTGCGTACGAATTTAATCATCCGAGATATTAATTAAAAATTTTGAAAACGCTAATTTTCGCACTCATTTTTCCAAGTGGCGACAGTGTTGAGCGCTGGAGATAAAAATCTGCTTTATTTTCTAGTGTTGCCACCGCTCGCTTTAAATTCTAGAGTTTGCTAATATAAAAATTGTTAAGTTTTGCAAAATATGAAATAAAAAATCTGAAAGGTTTCAGATTTTAAATTACGTCCAAAGGGGCGTTTTTTTAGTCCAAAGGGATTTCAGTCCCGAAGGACTATTGCTTTCGTTTTGGCATTTTGTCGGACTCATAAACGTCGGTTCACTTTTCAAACTGTTGCCACAAAATGTTAGAGTCCTGCATTATATTTGAAGAAATTAAATAATGAAAAATCTGCATAAATGATTGTCTATTTCTCGCATTGTGATAAAACAATGGTACATAGAGCCATCGAATTTTGAATGACGAAATCCTACTGCGAATATGAACATCTGAAATCCCAAATTTGGAATTTGTTTTATTATAGATTTTATATTTTGTAAAACTTTAACGAATTTTTGATTTACAAACTCAATGCTTTTAAAAGCGAGAAATGGCAATGTATATATAAAAAAAAAAACTTTTATCTCCAGCTCGCGAGACTGTGTATATCGGAAATTCTAAAGATATGCTTAATTTAACATTATTTTGCGATATTGCTCTTGAACTGAATTTTATGGTTTAAGTGCAAAGAACATGATATTTAATAAATAAAGGTAACACTCAAAACGTTAAAAAAACGCCCCTTTGGACGTAATTTAAAATCTGAAAAATTTCAGATTTTTTTTTTTTTTTAACATTTTGTCTGTTACTTTTATTTATTAAATATCACGTTCTTCGCATTTAAACCATAAAATTTAGTTCAAGAGCAATATCGCAAAATAGTTTTAATTTGAGCATATCCTTTAGAATTTCCGATACGCAGTCTAGATATGAAAATGTTTTGTTCTGTACAACGTTGCCATTGCTCGCTTTGAAATCCTCGAGTTTGTTAATCAAAAATTCGTTAAAGATTTACAAAATACGAAATCGATAATAAAACAAATTCCATATTTCAAATTTGGCCTTCCACATGCCCATATTCTCAGCAGGATTACGTCATTCAAAATTCGATGGCTCTATGTAGCGTTGTTTTATCACAATGCGAAAAATGTACACACATTTATGCAGAATTTTCATTATTTAATTTCTTCAAATATAATGCAAAATCGGAAAATAATAGTCCTTCAGGGACAAAGTCCCTTTGGACTAAAAATAGCACTGCCAAACATTAAATACATTATTATTGTATTAGAATTTAAACAAATTTAAATTTAAATTTTAACTAAAATAATTTTTAAAAAATTTTTTAAAAAAGTGCAAACATATAAAAAGATTTAATTCTCGAACTAATCTACAATATCATTTAAATTCAGAAGCATAAGCAAAACAAGTGCAAAACCAATTCATGAAAATAAATTCACTAATTTAGCAAATTAAAATTAAACCAAAAATTTTTTTTAAAAATGCATAAGTGAATGACTGTTGAGCAGGCAGGAGACAGACTTATCAAGGGGAAGTTGCCTCCAAACCTAACTCTCCAATCATTCAATTCGTGTTTCGGCATTCATGCAGGCAACGGTAAAAGTCAAAACCAAAAGTAAAAAGAAATACCAATAAAGTGGTACCCTTAGAAATTAGCATTTAAGAATTAAAGTTCTAAAAGTAAAATACTAATGAAGTCTTTTGAGAAACAAGCAAGTAAAGTCAAGTATTAAATTAAACTTTTAAAAAAAAATTTAATTTAAAAAAAATTAATTTACTAGAAACCAATGTATTTTAGAAAATTTATTTTATTTTTATTAATAAAAAAATTGTTTTGGTTTAATTTTAATTTGCTAAATTAGTGAATTTATTTTCATGGATTTTGCACTTGTTTTGCTTATGCTTCTGAATTTAAATGATATTGTAGATTAGTTCGAGAATTAAATCTTTTTATATGTTTGCACTTTTTTTAAAAAAATTTTTAAAAATTATTTTTTTAGTTAAAATTTAAATTTAAATTTGTTTTAAATTTAAATTTCATTCCTTGCAGCAATGGCGCAAAGAATATTTAATTAAATTTGTATTTAAATTTAATTAAATTCAATTTATTCTTATGAAACAATTATTATTGTATTAGGTTATATTCTGAGGTTGAAGAAAGCAAGCGATTGCACGTGACGTCACGTTAATTTTTCGTTTCATTTTAAATAAATAGCTCCTGTACGCAATCTTTTAGTTTCAGGTTAGAGTAACTGACACGTTATGTTATTGCGACGTTAATTCATTTATTGATATTGAGAAAAGTTGTTATATTACACTAAAATTAAATCATGACTTCACACATATTAACCTGAAGTGTCAAAAGATTTTGTTTCCTGGTTTGGCAACTAAAAAAAATATTTACGAATTGGTTGTTGCTTGGAAAGAATGAACTAATTTTATTTATATTGAAATGTTTTTATGCATTTTCTTTGCAGGTGGACAAAGAACTTATAAATTTTGCTTTGGCCACGGCCCGCTCATCTGCCTGCCAGTTTCCTTTATTATGAGAGGCAAATAAATTTCCATCAGGAATAATTCCTCACTAAATGTCTAAATAATTGAATAGTATTTTCTTATTGATACTTTTCTTACTGATTTTCTTACTGTCAACATTAAAGCTTTTCAAAATATAGATTACTTTAGGAAATTAAAAATGAGCCTTAAATATGAAAAATATTTTATATATTTTGATAACGATGGCAACGCTTTCAAACTCGGAGCGTCAAAATTCGACAAATAATGAATCAGAATTCGCTGGCTTAACATTCTCTCCCTCGTTTAAGAAAAATTATTGTTACAGTATTATATATATATTTATTTACTAGAAACATTCAAGTCCAATCATATGGATGCTACTGTAGTACAGGCCCACCAGTGACTGAGCAGTGAAATCACTGAACACTGGTAGTTCTGACTTGGGTTCGAATCCAGGCAAGCGGGATAGCTGCATCGGCGTTTTCGTGGTTCCTCTGACGTGTAACGTGTGTATACGAGTCAGTTTCACATAGAAAGTCCTTCACGAAAGCTTCCCCCCCGCAGGCAGATATCCCTAGTGTGCTTTGCCATAATAATCTAACACAAATGTTATTATGAGCTACTGTAGTACAAATGATTACAAAAAAAATATGAGTGAAATACATTTACAAGTCTTAAAATAACAATAATGGAAAAAACTTGCTTATCATTAAAACAATGGTATGCTCGTAACAGGTAATCTGGTGACCTGTTGGTGATC